ACATTCTGAATTTCCATGATGGATTCAGGGTATGCCCCATCAGTGATCTCATTCCAATTCCAGATTATCTGAAGATACATGAAATGTTACTCAAACTAAATTCATGTTCCTTATTTGGTCCAGTTTAAAACAAGTTACTTTCTTGTGTAGTTATTACAAATTTATGAAATTCTAATATTTGAAGGAAAAGGTTGATTTTATATGCCATCAAGTTTGTGTCTTATATGCTATAAATTATGATCATTAGGCAAGAAACAAACCATTTGAATATATTAAATTTTGCTTTCAAAACATGTTTACAAAAAATAAAATTATGGATGATTTTTTTTTTTGTTAATATCAAAAATTATTTTTAAAATTACTTCAAAAGAATTATGATTTTATTCTTCCCTTTTTAAAATGTCGGGGTCTTGATATCCTGCAGGGATTTTTTTTGTTAAATGGGTTTCATTGTTATAATTGTTTCTCATTCATAACAAAATATTGTCATAAATTCATAAAGCCACATTTGGGTTTTTCATTTAAAAAAAAAAAATAAAAAAATAAATAAAAAGGTTAATTTTTGTGTTATTATTATTATGATCACTTTGATGTGTTGCAATGGTTAGCAAATTTAACTCACTAGATCAATTAGAACTGAGTAGTGACTTCAATATTCACTGAGTGCTCTATACTTTCAGCCTTGTGACACATCTAAGCTACACTTAGAAAATTATCATTATTATTATTATTGCCTACATAAAGTGAATGTTTAAATTGAACCCAAATATAATTTTCCTTTCTAAATGATCAGAACTAACTTTGGTTTGGCTTCTCAAATATTGATGTAAATATTTTCACTCAGACTGCTTTCCTTATATATTTTTTTTTTATTTCATCCTGGTCCATTTCACCTCCACTCCAGATCACTACTAACCTTTTCTAGGTTTAACCATTATCTTCCCTACATATCCGCATAAACTGTACCTCTTACTCTGTGACCCTCTACCTCAAGTGACTCCCAGGCCTTGTACAAGGTGAAAAAGAAAATTCTCCCATCTTCCTTAAGAGAATGCATCAACTTTTAAAAAGATGGTTTAGATAAGCTTGAACACCAGATGCTGCAAGAATGGACCAGTCGTGCCAGAGGGGGGAAAAAACTCATTGAACAATTAATTGATCTTTAAATTTTAGGTAACAATAAAGAGGCATTTATATATTTTTATTCATTTGAGTTCCTTGCTGTAATTGTCATTGCAGGAAAAATATCTAAATATTCAGTGGACAAAAACTATGAAAGAACAAAGAGAAAATAAGAGAAATGAAGCAAGAAATGAAGAGAAAGGTAAAGAAATTAAAACAAACTTATAAAAATATATACAGAGTGATATAGTGCAGACTTAGGAATCAATGCTGCTTAGTGACTGTCAATTCATCCTTGATGCAATTGAGGCATGAAACTGCTGATAATCAGTGTTCATTCTCAAGTCCAAACACTCTCTATGAATAAATATTATCTCCAATATTGTACACACTTCCTCTTTCAATATAACTAATTTTAAACTCTCTCATATATATATATATATATATATATATATATATATATATATATATATACCAGATTTTTGTTGCTATATGAGTGTTGGGAGTCCAAACATTTAACAACACATCTTTTAAATGAAATATGAAAACAGTTATTTTCTGAAGGAAAATTAGAAGCAGAATGCCATTTGAAATAACATTTTTATATTCTTTTCAGAAATATAAAATAGCAATAAGATGTTCGATTTTCCTTGCAGTGAATTTTGTTTTATAAAGTAATTAAGAATTCTTAGTGAAATGAAAATGTGTGAACAGCCTAATGTATTTGCAAGTTCGTAGACAAACGCTTAGTAGGTAGTTGCTGGTTAATCCCTTCTATTGCTTTTGTGGATAAGGCCTTAGCTGGCAATTGCTGGCTGTCTCTCTTCCAGAGAGTGTGAGAGAGTATATATATATATATATATATATATATATATATATGTGTGTGTGTGTGTGTGTGTGTGTGTAAATCAAACTGGTCTCCTTAATGGTTTTGAACCTCAAGGAGAAGTATGCTTATATTTTTATATCCATAAGGGAATTCAAAATAGAAGTGTGAACTTTTTGAATACAAGGTTTTCATTAGTTAGAAAATAATTTTACACTTGCTAGCAAAAATCTTTTTCTCAAATTTGTAGGGGTGGCAAAAGGCATGATTGTTCTTTACTAAATAGTCCAAAAATAAAATGCAGTAGGTCTACCATTAAGTAAACAACTATTTGGGTGGTATTTGCCCTTGTAATGATTATTTATCAAACAAACCTTCTGATGGTATGCTATTGGTTGAAAAAAATATATATATATATATATATATATATATATATATATATATATATATATATATATATGTATGTATGTATATATGTATATATATATATATATATATATATATATACACACACACACACACACACACACACACACAACAGCATAGGATAAATCCATCCCACAAAATGTTTAATATCTAAAATACCACTAAACTAATTAAGTTTCTTTTTTCCAGGTTTTCAGATAAGTCATTTAGCCATCTTGACACCATTTTTCATCAGAATCACTGAATAACCCTTTGGGTTATTCACCTAAAAATAGAACAGGTTAAAATCATTTTGTGTCAGCCCTACTGTCTTCCAATGGTGAGAGGAAAAAGATCATTCAGACCGTCAGTAATGGTACCAACATTTATACCCTGGCTTCCATCTTCAAAGTCCATTCATAAACCATCAAAAGAATGAGGAATAAGTTTTAAAAAAGAGGGAACAGTAGAGAGGAAAACTGGATCAGGATCAGGTCACAACAGGAAGAGGGATCATCATTTCAACTTAGAGTTGAAGAGATCAATTAGAAATGATCCAACTCAATTTATAAGATGTTTGGCACATGAGAGAGGAGTTTCAGCTATGACAGTACAAAGACCAGTGAAAAATGACTTGAAAATGAAATCATATTTGAAATGTGTGAGGCACCGTATTACTCTAGTATAGAAAGTTAGGTTATAGAGGGCAAAGATCATCTTGAGTAAGTTGGAAAATGATTCTGGTATAAAATATATATATATTTGAACTTTATTTCAATCCTTCATGAACTTCTGATCCTTAGCACTGATTAATTAATGATGAACATGTCATTTTCTTTTATGATTTATTTCATCATGATTCTTCTTTTAAGCTTGTAGTGTAATTATACATTCTTATTGCTCAAAGTCGAGTCTAATAGTGTTATAAAACCTTCAGAGAATTCCAGCAAGATATCTTTAATCATTTCTAAGATACATTGGTTCAAAGCTTATTCTAACAAATGGGCAATTTTGCTTTTAGACTATTTGCTGTTCCACCTGGTATATATTTTTACTTTTCTGTTTTTCTCCAACTATATATACAACCTGTACTTTCATTAATGCTGTCACTTGCAAAAAATATTGCCCTTATTGTTTATAACACCTAAGACCATCTCAGATGACATCAACAGTTTGCACTACTGCAGATACCTCCATGGCATCAGCAGAGAGCCATTGATCATTATTCCTGTTCCATCACCAATTTTAAGAAGCTGAGTAACTTAAAATTGCTTTGGTTGGCAGCTAGTGCCACAAATACAGTGTACTTTTTAATTTCCTGTATTAGATTGTAAACAGTGATGTTAATGCACTTGATACATCTAAAAGAGAAATGAAAACATTAAAATTTGGCACATGCTATATAACATTGCATAAAGTTAGCTCCCATTTATGGCTTGCTGACACACTCTACTCATCCAGTTTTTTATTATTATTATTATTATTATTCCTTCCTTTCCTCTTTATTATTTTTCATCAAAGACAGATGAGGATCTGTCAACACACATTTATATGGTCAGCCCCCAGGGTGGTGGCAGCTACATAAGTCACATGTTTCTCTCAAGGGTTGTGTTTGCTTCTCGTGCATGTCTCTTGTGACAAATGACTGTTCGATTGCAGTCGGTGACAACCTGCCACCTGTCCTTACATTTACGATATACTGACAACTTCACTTAGAAAATATTTTTGCATTTGAGTCTTTTCAGGGCAACCCATTGATCAGACCAGAGTGATTTTTTATTTTTCTTTAATTTTTTTTTTATCAAATTTTGATTGATTGATTCTATATATATATATATATATATATATATATATATATATATATAAAAAATACAATTTTCTTTGCCAACTTTCTTTTTCTAGGTATCCTCAGATTTTATCACTTGTCACTTTTGCTGATTTCATGAAATTGATATTGTCCCCAGTCCTAACTTTGACAGCTTGCTAAAGTTTACTCTTGTCAAAAGTGGATCACCTGAAGATGATGAAAGAGAAAAAAGCAATCACATATGAAGTACCTGCCTAAGATGAATAAATAAAGGTTTTTTAAAAAAAAAATTATGTCAAGCAATTTTGTTTTTTTCCACATTTTTAAAATACAATCTATTCTATAATATAAAAGACAATAGAAATTTATATATTTATCAGCCATACATCCTGATTTCCTCTAGAATTGTGATAATGAGAGATGCTTTTGCTATGAAAATACAAATCATTACTCTGCAACAAGCAAATATATCACATTAGTAAGTAGGGGAGATCAAGCTGTTAATGCATTGCTTTGTCAGCTATTTTTGGTTATTTTTTTATATTTAATAATTTAAAAAGCAGAATTCTTTCCGACATGTGACAAAACGTATAGAAATAAAGTATGAGCTTACTTATGATGAAGTTACAAAATTAAATGAAATGGTTATTTTCTTTTTTACAGTCAAAAAGAAGTTTGATCATCAGTTTTCAGAATTGGTCTAGATTAATGGAATGTTTTTAACAATGCTGCAAAAACAACAGATTAAACAAGCAAACAAAAATAATCCTGTGATTTAAAAGAGGAAATTAATTTTAATTAAGCTTTTATTTTCTCAAATTTTCATTTAAACAATGGACTTGTAGCCATATCCTGTTGAAACACCTGTTCTCATCTGATCACTGAAGTTAGGCAATGTTGAGCCTGGTCAGTAACTAAATGGGTGACTGCATGGGAATAACAGGTGCTATAAGCTTACATGTGTGTTGTGGCATAATGAATAATGGCTTTCAATGAGAAACTGGAAAGCAAAGTTTGAATTCCAATCAGGTTTGTTACATTTACTTATGTGCAAATGGGATAGGATTGAATCTACCTCTTCTCCTAGTTTCCAGTACTTTTTTAAATACAAAATAACCAACATCTGAGAATTTTCAGCTTTTATATACCATCATTGAAGCTATGTCAGTTTCATCATTTTTAAATAGTGATTGATTGATTGATTGATTTTCTATTGATTATGAACTCTCTACAGTTTATTTAAAGTCAGGAAATACTTTCAGTTTGTAAAAAATCTTTTGGTGGATAATAATGTTTTAGTGTTACAAGTCTTACTAATTAACCCATAGCTGGGGGAGAAGAGGTGTATTCATACTTTTCCCAAGGGTGTTTGTGCATAAGTGAATATAACAACCTCAACCAGAATTGGAACTTAGATCTTCGATTAACAATTCCAAGCCATTATCCATTACACCAACCACATATCAAAGATTACTGTACCTGGTATTCTTCAGCAGTCACCCATCTAGGTATTAACCAAGGTAGACAACACTTAACTTCAGTGATATTTTTTAAATATTCCATTTTTCATAATTTTATATGATAATTTGTGTTAATATGTCATGTTTTTTTATTATGATATATATTTAGTGAGCTTATTCCTAAATTTGATGATATTCTACTGATAGTTGTTTTTATGGTAAATGCTTCTATTATTTGTAGTTGTTTTTTATCTTTTATATATAAGATAATATTTTTGTGTTAGTGGGTAAGGATTTGTTGGATTTCTTTCTGTAAAAAATCACTGGTAATATGAAATATGTCAGGACTCAGAAATTGGACAATTTATATTTAAATATGGAGCAAAAACCAGGAAAATGGTTCAAAATGGATTAAAAATATCTTAAAAACTTTCATTAGTCTTTAACCAAACTTGTATGAATTAAAAATTACTACACAAATACACCCTATATATATATATATATATATATATATATATATATATATAGATAGAGAGAGAGAGCATGGATATATATAAATGAATTCTGTATGGAAACTGTCAGCTTTTGACTGAAGCAAACCAAGACACCACCAGTCACCATGCAATACTGATTTCTATGTCTACAAATTTATATCAATGAATTCTGTCTCTAATATTGAATACTCTTCTGCCAAACAAAGCAAAATTTAAATAATAATATAAACTCAACTGGCCACTTATGTAAATAGGAACAAATGCATTTATACAACTTTTTAATCAGCTAATAATGTAGTAGCAGTTTACAGGATATTGGTTATTTAAACATGGTGACCTACTGAATTTCATTTCATACATTGGTGTAGGAAATAAGTTATTTTGAATGTGATATGGTCATTATTACCAGACAGGCAATATTTCAGAAACTGCTGATCTAAGATTTTCATACACAGTCTTCAATTGGTTTCACAGAAAATGATCAGAAAAAGAAAAAAATTTCATTGTACAGAAATTCTGTGCACAGAAATCCCTTGTTGATAAAAGGAGGTAAAGGGCTACACTGGTTAAAGCAGATAGAAAGTCAACAGTAGCTCAAATAAGCACTCTTTACAAGGGAGTTATACAGAAGAGCACCTCTGAATGCACAACATGTCTAACCTTGAAGCAGATGGGCGACAGCAGCAGAAGACCACACCAGGTGTCACTCCTTTCAGATAAGAACAAGAAACTGAGGCTACAATTCACTAAGGATCACAAAAATTGGACAACAGAAGACGAGAAAAATGTTGCCATAGTCTGGGGGAGTCTATTTCTGCTTTAGTATTTGGATAGTTGATCTAGAATTTGAAAATGGTACGAATCCATTGTACCTTTCATCAGTGGTTCAGGGTGGTGGTTGTAGTGATATAATGATATGGATATACTTTCTTGGCATACATTGGGACCCTTGGTTCCAATAAAAGTTTGTCTAAATGCTGAAGTCGGCCTCATTGTGACTGACCAAGTGCTTCAATTTATGACTGTGATGCTTCCTTGATCACTAAAATCTTAACTTGTTTAAGTTTGGGGTTAATCGTTATTTTCCACACATATCTGTATAAACATTGCCTCTTAATTTTTCACCCTCTACCTTAAGTGTCCCTCAGGATTTGTAAAAAAAAAAAAAAAATGATGCACCAATCCTTTAGTACTAAGTCACAAATCAAAAATAATGACAGAATGATTCATAGAACAGTAATGAGTTTTCTGCATTAAAAAAAAATCTTCAGTCATTGGAACTCAGTCCTATAGAACAATTTTAGGACTTAGTAGAAAGATTTGTACCCTGGATATACAGCCAACCAATCTAAGAAAATTGTGGGATGCCATAATAAAAACATGAACCCAGATTTCAAAAGAGTACTTCTATAAGATCTTGGAATTGATGCTGAGAATTGAGTCGAGTCTAAAGGCAAAAAGGGATGAAGTCTGACATTAAAAGAATATAACTAATAAATTGATTGGTATGTGTAAGTTTCCTTGTTTTCTTCAATCAATATAAGTTATTCACCTAAAGACAACTGCAAACTGGGAATAATTATTAGAAATGGGAATAATATTAATACTGCTACTAATGTCTATTGATTATTACTAATCATCTTTGGAAAAGCATGAATTTACCAATCTCCTCTTAGTACAACCACATCATTAATAACAGCAAATAACTGTCACATCTATTGTCAACCTTGACTAGAAACATATTACTATGAACTAATTGCTGAACAAGACTTTCCTTTTTTGTTTGTTTTTCAAATTTTCTTCCTAAAACAAAAATGTTCAGGCGTTCTTATAAAGATATACTCAAGAAGATTCCAATTACCATTATTCTGAGATGACAGTGAAGCAATCTTGGAAAGTCGATAGCTGCATGAAGATTGGTGAAAATGTTCTTTGCAGAAATTTGATTAGAAACATGAAATTCCAAAATGTTAAACATTCAATCAATTCTGACATTTTTAAATTTCTGTCTTCAAACAAAATATTGGTTTCATATTTTCTCAGGATTTACAATGATTACTACCAATACTGCCAAGCACTTTTTAAATAGACATAGTGATAATATGGTGCATTACAATTAATCTTGTAGATCATTGCCATTGTGATTCTCACTGAGTGACTCAAATTTGTAATCTTGTGCTACACTGTGTGAAGGTAGTGTCTGATGAAAAATGTCATTACAAGATTGTAACACATTCTATTTTTGACCTCTAGTCTTATGTATGTATGGAGCCCAGACTTTAAATCTGGCCTTGTGCCACATTCTGTTTGAGTATTTGGATAAATTCCTTTAGTGCCAATAGTGAATAATTTCTCAGTATTAATATTCTAATAGGATTGATTTTATCAACACAACATAGGGCACTGGTTCTGTGATGTCATATAGTTAATTTTTTTCTTAATTTTTATTTTGTCAATAGTTTGATATGAACTAGTTTTCTTTCTTTGCAGTGGGGGATAGGCTCAAGAAAAACTTTGTTTATTACAAAAAACCTTGTAACATCCAGAAATTGAAGACTTGAATCACTGCAAAATTAGAGGAAATTAATATTGAACTTTGCAAGGGGTGTGTAACATTCTAGGCTTGCTCAGCTGCAATTACAATTCCCCAGCCACTGGGAAATTTTTCCAAACACAGACACCGAGGCCACACATGTGGATAATAGAGTCCTTCTGATAGAGAGGAAGACAGCCAGGAATAAAGAATTCAGTGGTAGAGATTGAAAAGTTTAGTTTAATTTCAAAGAGAGCTAGGATGTCTGTAGAGCATTCCAAGAGAAAGAATTCCAAACTGCAGAAATTTCAGCCTTCTTCGCAAGCTTCAGGGTTATGGAATTTCAGGTCAATTGTTTGACTTGATACAATCATTCCTGTCAAAACGTGCATTGAAGGTCATTCTCAATGGATTCTCCTCCAGCTCCTATCCCACGAATGCAGGTGTTCCCCAAGGCTCTATCCTAGGCCCTACTCTGTTCTTTATCTTCATTAACGATCTTCCTGATGTCATAGGTTCCCAAGTAGGCATCTATGTGAACGACACTACTATTTACTCCTGCCTCAAAAACAAATCTAGTGTCACCGACAAAACTAATGTGGCCATTTGTCTCAAAAAAGACCTCCAATCGGTTGTGGATTGGGACAGGAATTGACTGGTTAACTTTAATGCCTCAAAAACAAAACTGCTCACCAGATAGAACCATCCCTGCCTCCCATTAGAATGTCTGACGCTCAACTCTACGAGAGCACCTCTTTGCAACTGCTCGATCTCACATTGTGTGCTGACCTGAGATGGAACAAATACATTGAGTCAATAGTTTTGTCCACCACAAGGAATGTTGGCTCCCTGTGCTGCACCAGACAATTTTTCTTGCCAGAGTCAATCCTTCAAATCTACAAATCAACCATTCACCCTTGTATGGAGTATTGCTGCCATATATGGTCTGGAGCTTCTTCTGTTTGTTTCAAGGTCCTTGATAAAATCCAAAGATGGATTTGCAATGTAATTGGCTCTGATCTGGCATCTCATCTGCAGCTGCTCTCTCACAGATGTGCCGTAGCCTCTCTCTGTCTTTCTTACAAATACTTTCATGGTAACTGCTCCAATGAGCTGCTTTCGTTGGTTCCCAGACTTTGTGAATTTAAGCTTTCAACTAGGCTGGAATCTCGCTCTCACCCTTTCACTGTCAAAACTTAAATATAGCCATCTCTTCTACTCCAATAGCTTCATGTCTCACACCTCTCGCCTGTGGAACTCCCTCCCCTCTTCCTGTTTCCCTGATAGCTATAATCTCCAACTATTCAAATGTAATGTCAATTGGCGTCTTCAGATGCCCTGATCTATCCCCTAACCCTCTCTTCATTCTTTCCTCTATCACTCCTATTTGCTCTCACTCCAACTCTCTGTAAGACCTTGTATGCTAGTGGCTTACCACCCTGCTTGGAGGTGGAATTGCTTAAA